GGGACGAAAGCTGCCACGTCCTGCGGAACACGGCTGCTGCCCCCTCCCAAAATGGCGCTGAGCCAGCCTGCGCTGCTCTGCCCCAGCCGGCGGATGATGGGGGACCCTAGAATCCCAGAGCACTGGCACGGGAAGGGACCTCGGGAGTCATGGAGCCCAGCCCCTGCTGTCTGTAATGGCGCTGAGCCAGCCTGCGCTGCTCTGCCCCAGCCGGCGGATGATGGGGGACCCTAGAATCCCAGAGCACTGGCACGGGAAGGGACCTCGGGAGTCATGGAGCCCAGCCCCTGCTGTCTGTCCAGCCTGCTCAGCCGTCTCCGGGCCAGACACCCTCCATTCCCAGCTGAGGTTCTGGCCCGGGGAAGGCAGCGGCCCCGCACTTGTGCGGCTGCTGCTCCCCAGCCACATTGGCATTCACATCGTGAGCTGGTTCATCAGCTGCACCGGACGTATCTGATTGCAAACAGCCCCTCCCCCAGCCCTGCACATGGTGTGAGTGCGAGGCTGGGGAGGAAGGTTGCTGCAGCCAGATGGATCAGGGTGCCGGGAATGGGGGTTGTGCGTCTGTCAAGGCCGTCCGTTGGGGCAGACTTTCGTCTGCGGAGCAGTGCCGGGCGGAGCAGTCCCCATAAAACCAGTAGAATCCAAGTGATCCGAGACAAACGCGGGGTTCTGAGGTTCAGGTAAAGCCGTTGCACATCGGAGCGGGCGAGTCAGCTGCTGCATTCATTGCAAACATCACAGCGACCAGGCTGGGTAGGCAAAGGCCCATCCAGCCCAGGGTCCTGTCTGCTCGCAGTGGCCAATGCCAGGTGCCCAGAGGGAGTGAACAGGCCAGGGAATCATCCAGTGATCCCTCCCGTCGCCCATTCCCAGCTTCTGACAAACACAGGCCAGGGACCTCTCCCTGCCCAGCCTGGCTAACAGCCGTCGATGGACCTACCTCCATGAATCTGTCTAGCTCTTTTTGTTAAAAGTCCTGCCCTTCACAACATCCTCTGGCGAGGAGTTCCACAGGTTGACTCTGCACAGTGTGAAGAAAAACTTCCTTTGTTTTTTGTTTTTTTTAAACCTGCCTCCTATGAATTTCATTGGGTGACCCCTCGTCCCAAGCTCATTTCCACTGTCAACATCTCAGTAGAATTTGGGGAATCTGAACCCAGAATTTGTTGGATCCAGTTTTCCCCAGCCTCTGGGTCCATCCGTGCCCGTCCATGCAGCCTGGTATGCTGCCCTGGCCGCTCTGGGATCCAAGCACAGAGTGACGCCAGTCCTGGGCCCACTAGCGCTGTTTTCTGCCCTCTCTCTGCCTGGCAGCAGGGTGGTGACAGTATGTTTGTGTTCCAGTGCCAGGCAGGCCCACCATGATGATTAGCACCACAGCCATGAACACCGCGCTCATCCAGTGGCACCCCCCCAAGGAGATGGTCGGGGAGCTGCTGGGGTACCGGCTGCAGTACAAGCGCACGGACGAGGAGAAGATGAACACCATGGACTTTGGGAAGAACGACCATCACTACACGGTGACCAGCCTGCACAAAGGTGCCACCTACCTCTTCAAGCTGGCGGCCAAGAACAGGGCCGGCCCGGGGGAGGAGTTCGAGAAGGAGATCACCACGGCAGAGGACGTGCCCAGCGGGTTCCCGCAGCACCTGTGCATGGTGGGACTCACCACCTCCACCACGGAGGTGGCCTGGGACCCCCCGGTGCTGGCGGAGCGCAACGGAGATATCAACAGCCAGCAAGACCTGACCAACGTCACCCTGGAGACCAGCATCACCCTGGCCAACCTCAAGCCTGACACCACCTATGACATCAAAGTGAGGGCCCGCAACAGCAAGGGGGCAGGGCCTCTCAGCCCCAGCATCCAGTCCCGGACCATGCCCGTTGAGCAAGGTAGGCGCCAGGCCTGTGGCGGGGGCTGGGGTCCCCTGGCTCTGGCTAGCGAGGCCGTGCAGCCCTCACGGAGCCGGTGCGAGGTATTGCCTCTGTCACTCCCAGGGCCAGGCCCAGGCCCGCTTTCTCGGTGCGTGAAGGGGTGTCGGCTGCCCGGGCAGCCCCGCAAGGCGGGTCTCTGGGCTCAGCACGTGAGAGCTGCAGGAGCCGGTTCGGTCTGCGGCGGCCTGCGGGCGGGGGAGGGTGCGGCTCCGGCTCACGGCCTCCTTCTGTTCCAGTGTTCGCTAAGAATTTCCGTGTCAGCGCCGTGATGAAAACCTCCGTGCTGCTGAGCTGGGAAGTGCCTGACTCCTACAAGTCCGCCGTGCCCTTCAAGGTAGGCCCTGCGCCATGGCCTCGTGGCAGGGGGCGCGGAGGGCG